TTCATTTCAATTTAGCTGCAATTCATTATTATCCAAGTAAGGTCAGGGGATTGCACCCCCCCCCTCACCTCCCTGAAACAAGGTGCATGAAAATATGGTCCTATATGTGCACATATATACATACGCAACAGAACGTGTACAGACATTGTCACCCTCCAGGGCGGATACGATCCCGATAATCCCGCATACCATCACCAGTCTCATTGAAAAGTAGGTCATTGTGATACTCTATAAAACAAAACACAATCACATAGATACAAACCATTTTCTTATTGAAAAGTAGGTCATGGTGATACTCTATAAAACAGATCACAATCACGTAGATACAAACCATTCTCTTATTGAACAATAAATCATGATGATTTTCTAGAAAACAATGAAAACACAATTAGATACAACCCAGTCTCTTTGAACAGAGACCTTTAATTATGCTCTAAAACATGAACACATGAACACAACCCACTTTGATTAAAATCATTTCCTCGATCTGTACCTATCTCGAGTAGCGACAATTAAAAAGCAATTAAAGGAGCGGATCAAGGATCTGATTTTATTCAGTTTGAATCATATATAATATTACAGTATGGATGAATAATACTGATGAAATTTTTTTTTATAAATAAAAAGATTTAAAAAAAAATATTTTTACGATCCTTGTTTACATCATGAAGAATTTTAATTTCTGTATCTCTCATTGTAAATCAACAAATGATGTTCAAATTTTTGAAACTGCTGATCATTAGAATTGCCTTTGTTAGGAATTGTAAACATTCAAATTGGTTTAAAAAATCAGTTGAAACTGTGTCCATGCCCCCTTAATAATTAAGTATGGACTTGAGCTTCAGTTGATTCGATACACAAGAGTATGCTTTACGTATGAACAATTTCTAAAACGAGGTAAATTATTGACAAGCAAGTTGATGAAACAAGAATACCAGCAGTCTCCTTTAAAGTCATCATTTCGTAAGTTCTATGGTCGATACAATGTACTTGTCAGCAAATACAATTTATCATTAAGTCAAATGCTGACGGACTTTTTCATACCATTGTTAGTCCGTTATTTATACACTGATTTGACGACGGATTTTTTCCATTATTTCCTGATCATGACAAGGAGCACACGGCGGGTGTGACCGGTCGGCAGGGAATGCTCACTCCTCCATGGCACCTGATCCCACCTCTGATGTTTCGGGGGTCCGTGTTTGCTCTGCTCTTATTTTGTATCGTTTTATGGACTTTGAGACTGAATACCGTTCGTTATCTCCATATCCTTCTTCCTCATTAGAATTTTTCATGGTTACCTGTATACATCATTTATAATACATACATTGCATATATGCATGTATCATATTTATAAATTCATGAACTCTACCCAAACAAAGTTCGCGATGGGTGTAGCAGTTCGACCTTTTTAATTTCAAACTTCCTTAATTATTTTCAACGCAGTTTACTTCAATTCATTTAGTTTACTGGCAAATTAAAAGCCCTTGTGGGAAAAGAGAACGTACATATACATTTTAAAGACCTTATACAATAATTATATTCACATGCATGAATTATATGACCAGTATGATTTTCTACAACACCCCCATCCCATTCCACCCTAATACAAGCACCCTTTGACTGTGCACTCATTTACATTCAATAAATGGTTTCTTCATCATGCTCATACATGTAACAATAGCCACAGAATTAACATCAAATTAAAAAAAAAGAACAAATTTCATGATTATAGTATCATCTTCACACATATTTACAATCACATGTCAACATCGATTTCAAACAAAAAAAAATATTAGTATACTAACCTTGATTAAGTTTCAAGAGAGTTTCAAGAGAGCATAGCTATCTAACTGAATCATAAAACAAGTTTGACAAATAATGAGAATTTTCATTAAATCGTCTGTGTGTATTAACTCACCGTATATGACAATTGTACGGTGACGATAGCGAGTTGGCGATGGAAGAGAGAGTCTATTTCCGCTATTGCTTCAGATATGGTCACTCTCAATGACAAACACCGGTAGTCGTCCGTAAGAGTCGGAACTGAGTCACTGCGAAGTTCACGAGCAAAGGACTTAGATTTTTAAAGCTCAAAGCTCAATTTCGTGAAAATTAATACCAAAAATAGGACGATTCCACATGAAAAGCATTTGGCATACTTTGAAAATAAACGAGAATAAAAGATGCAAGATTAAGAACGTGGTATTACATATATTCTCTTCAGCTGATAATTTTTATAATGAAAATTCAAAATACAAAATAATCTGACTTATATGACCACCCCTGCCCTTATTCCCACCCTCTACAAGAAAAAGAAATAATTAGAAATTCTTTTTAATAACATTAATCTATTCGCCAGTATGAAATAAAAAAAAAATTTCATATCCCCCCCCCCCCGCCCTCCTCAATCCCTCTGCCCCCACTGCCCCGCTTTTCAAATTAATTTGAAAATTAACTCAAAAGATACCTTGCACATCTGTAAATTTAATTCACGCTATAGGTTATGCAGGGATACATTGTAATACATGCACTATAGACAGGTAAATAATGCAATATAATATTTAATAATAAACACACAATGAAATCAATTTAAATAGGATCCGTGAAACAAATTATCAATCTTCATAAAATTTCATTTCATTTCTGACCGTTAAAATCGTGACTTACATCCTCCTACCTGTTTGTCTAGCGTAAAATTATTATTATATAAAAATGATAATAGCGTTCTTCCTTAATCATACATGTAATATAGAATTTTTGTCCCCCGCTTTCGCGAAAGCGAGGGGACATTAAATCTCATTCGTCTGTCCGTCGGTCCGTCTGTCTGTCCGTCGGTCCGTCAGTCTGTCCGTCACAAAAACTTTAACCTTGCCCATAACTTTTGATTTAGTGGAGCTATAATTTTCATATTTCATATGTGTATTCCTTGTGATAAGACCTTTCTTTGGGTACCACCAAATTTGACCTTTTGACCTTGACCTTGGAGTTTAAACTACTTTTACTAAAAAATTCCAAACTTTTACTTTGGCCATAACTTTTGAATGTTAGGTACTAGGACTTTCATATTTCACATATTTATTCTTTGCGACAAGACCTTTCAATGAATACCAACAACTTTGACCTTTTGACCTTGACCTTGGAAATTTACGTACTTATGAAAAAACTATATCCTTGACCATAATTTTTGAACGGTAAGGGCTACGGCTTTTATACTTCACATATTTTATTCTTGTAAGAAGACCTGTCATTGGATTCCAAGAACTTTGACCTTTTGACCTTGACCTTGGAGTTTTAACTACTTTTTAAAAATTATAACCTTGGTCACAACTTTTGAACGGTAGATACAAGGACTTTTATATTTCACACATATATTTTTTGAGGCAACACTTTTCGTTGGATACCAACAACTTTGACCTTTGGACCTTGACCTTGGAGATTTACTTACTTCTGAAAAAACTTTAACCTTAAACATAACTTTTAAACGGTAAGGGCTAGGGCTTTCGTACTTCACGTATGTAATCCTTGTGAGAAGACCTTTTATTGCATGCCAAGAACTTTGACCCTTTGACCTTGACCTTGGAGTTTTAACTACTTTTTAAAAACGTTAACCTTGGTCACAACTTTTGAACGGTAGAAACTAGGACTTTCATATTTGAAATATATGTATTCTTTATGGCAAGACCTTTCATGGGATACCAAAAACTTTGACCTATTGACCTTGACCCTAAAAATGATATCTTGCCCACAAAGATACCGAAAGCGGGGGACCACAATTCTTTGAATTTGCTTGTTGTATTTGATTCACTTTTAGTTTCAAAATATCTATTAGTTTTAATGTGAAATCATTCTACCGGTACTCAGCATGCTCAGTACAAGATCGAATTCAAGATTACTTTGTATTTATCACAGATTTAACATTTAAGTACAGATCCCGAGTTTGGTACAGATACCTGAAAGATGACGTGGGCATTTCTTATAAACGACAAGTTAAAAGATATAATTTAAGTCATATTTCACAGTGTGATCAAATTTTAAGTTTTTCAGCAGTAAGATTAATGCCTCTTTATCTTAAAGATTTATCATAATTATAAGATTAAAGAAGGAATGGCGAACGAAAGTGGCGCGACTCAAATGACCAATAAATGAATAATGGACCGGGTGCAAAATATTTTGAGTCAGATTACATGTAGATGTAGTAAAGAAAAATAAAAGGATTGTAGCGAAACACAGAAGTTTCCTGACACAGTCACGATTAAATTAATATTCAAAAAGATGATAAAAACAGATACTGTCTTTTAATTTATTTCAATCCTGTACATGTATTTGTCACTACTGCACATTTGTACATGTACATACTTACAGCCCATTTATTTTCTTTAGCAGGCCTGAAAAGCTGAAGGGTATAACAGATCGCACTTTGTGCAAATTATGAATACCTTTATGTATCTTGGACCGTTAAGTAGCATTTTTCGAAGTCTCCTCTGTCATACAAGAATAATCCTATACTATTTGAAATATTTTCAGTAATTGCCACTGATAAAACTAAATGCATTCAACATGATTTATTTTTAGAAAGAATGCATTTCTCTATTTTGTTTCATATGTCTACACATAATACATGTACATGCATCTACTATAATGGTTTCACAATAATATAGTTTAATTTAATATAGATAAAATAGTAAACTAAGTAATAAAGTACAACTTTAAATAAATTAGGGATTTCACGTTCAAGAAAAAAAAAATAATAATGATATTAAATCTCCGTATATCCTGTTACGCTGACTCGATTTTTTTTTCATTTTGTGAAAGATGTCATATATTCAAGTTCAACGTTATCTCTCTGTCATATAATGGGGGAGAAAAATTGACGCTGATTAATTATACACGACAATGTTAATCTCACAATTTTATCGCTCTTGTAATTAGGCAAGATAAGTTATCCTTCTTTAGTGGAAAACTTTTGAAAGCAATTTTGATATCTCTCCCCCACTTTCTCTGCAGATACATATGTAAATGTAATAAATGCATGAGGCTATCTATGTTTGATAAGAAATAATGTCTCCAGCAGACGTGTTTTGGAGACGCAAAATTATAACATGTAGGCGACAAGATTCACAAACTGTTATTCGAGTACGAAAAAACTTGAGCAGGTTTGGCGGCCTACTTTAACTACCAAAATTTTATCGCTTCGAACTAATTAATTTGCCTTGTAATTGTAAATAAAAATGTTTTCCTCGACAATAATTAATCGTCGGGGATTGATTTCAAACTTATGAATCACAAATTAAAGATGACGCTAATAATAGTCGGTGAACAGAAAACTCAGAGAGAATCCTAGATTTCTTTGGAGTTTACTTGAATTGAATTATAAGGTGCTACATATATTTTTAACATATTTCGTGTCTTATCATGATCAGAAAATTTCATATTTGTTTTCAACATAATTACACTTTCCCCTTTTTTCAATAATTACAAAAATATTTCTTAATCCACTTAGCTTGATAACTAGATGTTAAAGAATAATATCAAACAGGTGTATTTGAGGATAAACAACTATGAAATAACCTTTTTTTTCTCAAATAAATTGATTTAAGTAGAATTCATCGTCATTGCACACATAGTATAAGAATAGCAGTGAAAGCGCAATATATTATAAGTGACTTGAATCAGGCACGTAGCATCCTTTTTGAAAGTGGGGAGGGGACAACCAGAGAATTTTTTTTTTACTTACCTGTATATGCGGCTATTTCAATTATATTGGTCATTTCACGTGTTACACGTGCGGGCACATGCACGCACGTGCGCGCAAAATGACCTTCGTTCCGCACATCTGCATAACATATACGTAGTAACCCTAAAAAGGTTTTACCTAGATCGGATGAGTAGTTTACGAGAACACTCGCGCACAAAAAAGTACCCAGGAAGAAGAAGAAAAGTCAGAAGAAAGTAAAAACAATATGTCACCAAACTTCGTTTGGGGAACATAATATTTTTACCAACGATGTATCTTCAAGACTACTAACTGACAATTTGAAAATTTGAATGTTCGAAGCTGCGCTCTTGGATTCCCCTAAGAAAAATTTAAAGATAACGCCCTTTTTTGTCTTATTTTGGTTGGTTTGAAAAAATAGCACCCTTTCTAACATCATTAAATTTTTAGCCTGTGAATGCATATATGAATGTGAAAAGTGTTTTGGAAATATTTCTTATGCAATCTCTTCTACAATATAAAAATCAGTTATACATAATATATGAATATCATTCTAAAATGTTGATTTTAAGGGTGGCAAAATTAACTCTTATCATACATGTATATAGATTGATCCGACCAAAAAGTTTATACCAATAATTATTTGTCACATTTTTTATGATTATGATGAGGAATATACTTCCAAATAAACTGTTTCTAATGATACATTCAATTGCTTATTTGACAACGATTTGAAATACAATCAGTTTTGGGTTTATATTTAGAGTCTCTACTTTCCCCGTTTCATGACGTCAGATTGACTCTGGGACCACTCCACCGTGATGGATTCCAGCCTCGTTCTACAACACCCCCTACACTGGGACACGGATGACCTCACGCAACCTTTCACCTTATTCATGAGTTCCGTGAAAACGTACTTTATATCGACGTAGGCAAACCAAGGTATAGGCGTAATGGCGTAGGAAACGCAACCCAAAACGTATACAGCGTCAAAAGATTTTATATTCGGGCGACACCAAGAACGATTGCAAGTTATTATGACCAGCATATTCAGTATGTACGGCGCAAAGAACAGGCTAAAGACAGTCGAGGATCCGAGAGTCGCAATCAACATTGAATGGAGAGTTTCATTGTGACGCACCGCGTCATCGGCCAGCAGACGATCATATGACGCTTTCTTGAATCGATAGTAAAGGAAAAGAGCTATACTGAGGATGACAACAATAAAGAAAAGCAAACTGAATAAGAACACTCCGGCGTATCGATAATTTCGCTCCATGAAATGATAGCACATAAGAGAACTGTATTTCTTCGCAAAATCAGGCAGATTCTTTATTTCTCCAAGTATAATCATTGGAAACAAGGCGACCTCAACAAGCCATGGTAACACAAACAGAAAGTAAGGAATAGCGGTCCAAACTCGTGATGTGACGTTAGACGGAGGAGATAGTGACTGCCGAACCTTCAGAAAGAGGCTTGTTACTATGGTGATCTGGATCATGCTCATGATGTGAGTGGAGGAAAGTTTGAACACAGAAAATAGTTTACATAGAACAGCCCCATGCAACCACTCATTGTAAATATGGCGGCTGTCACCAAGCGCATTAGTGATTGTACCGAAAACTAGATTGCAGACGCACATTCCGGCAACATTCCAAAACAGGACAACCGAGCGGAGCTCTTTCCGGGATAGAATGATTAGGAGCAGGGTTAGATTGGAGAATACAGCCACTAAACTGATGGTGGAAACGGACAGGATGACAGGGGTACGGTCATGCCATCTAGCGCTCCAACCCGATGTGGTGTTCTGGAAGGTAGAGTTTCCGGTGACATTTATTGGTGTCTCCGTCGTGGAAAGATTCAGAGGTAAGTTTACCTTGACCTGTTGATAAATAAAAGGATCCACTAAATATCACGAGCTAGATGAGATGCATATGTTTTATTAATTGAAAATGAATTTTGCAATTCCCATGGAAGTCTAACTAACATTGAAGATATAATTTATTTTTTATCATAATTTTATCTTAAGGTAACACCAACAATAATATCTTTCAAAAAGTAAAATACATTTAAAAGAAATCATCGGCAACTATAAAAAAGCACATAAGAAAGGAAATTGGAATATAACAATTTGTCTTACCATGGTTATAAGCTATCCTATAGATTTGAACCTTTCTCTTAATGAAGCAATTTCTCACTGACTCCGGGATCCGAGCTTATATTTGACCGTGATTCCTCATTGTGATTATTTTATAATTTTATCTTTAATACAGCCTATGCATGCATTGTGCTGAATTGTTAATAGGTATGCTACACACAACACGAAGTGGTACGTATTATCACAAACTCATTCATAATCCTTGATTTATTCAATGATATTGAATGCCTTATTATACTATAATCAAGCGTACAGTATTAGGTACCTTACCTTATTTTCTGATTAAGCTAATTCTCAAAAATGAAAATGAAATTACATGCAATTACTGCAGATCTGTCAGATCCCAAAAATGAAAGATGCATTAATATGATGAGTTGTTTTTGCAAATTATAAATTTACATTTAGTTTGAACCAAAGTCATATTATGTTCAAATAAAGATGACTTCATGATTACAGATGCTCGCCCAGAAAGAGTACACCCGAGGCTATTTTTACTGTCTTCAATTAATAATCGGACCTGTTTAACAACACAAAGAGATTAAATTGTTGTTTTGCAGATATAAGAAAGCTTTTGACATTGTTGATCGATTTGAATTGCGGGATAAACTCAGCACATACGGTATAAGACGTAAATTATTGACAATTATTCGGCCTATATTTACATCCACTGAATATGTTCTCCTTTATTTCTTAAGAAAGCCCATTGCGTTCATCACTGCATAAACTACAGTAGTCATGTCGCCTGTACAGATTTCTTAATCAGTGGCTGTTCCATCAATGAAACGTATAAAGACGTTCGCATTAATACAATAATTAATCTTTTTAATCCTACTTTAAATGATAATTTAAACAGATATAAATATAAACAATAAAATGTCTTTCTTTGTTTGTTATTACTGGAATGAACGGTCGCAGCTATTGCAGAAAAAATTACATAACCCGCATACACAGGTTATGTATTTTTTCTGCAACAGCTGCTTCCGTTCATTCCAGCAATAACTAACAAAGAAAGCATTTTATTGTTTAAATGTACGAAAGAATGAAATCTACTGTCAAGTTCCACAGGGGCCGGTTACATACTGTATTTGATTTTACGTAACCATTATGTATACAAAAGAGAAAGGGTAACAGCGTCAACCCGAATTTAAGCAGGGTAGATCTCTGAAATATTTCGTATTTTGGAGGCGGGGGCATCATTTAGTGAGCTCATCGCTCACAGTGCCTCTAGTTTATCACTTGTGCCAGTCAAATGTAAACACAATTCATAAATTCTAATTCCGTCTATGGACGTATAAGGGAGCGTTTCACATATTCTATTTACCTGTTGTTTAAATATGTAGGTATCAGAAAAGCAAGAGGAACAGGGGAGGGGTATCTAAATTCAAAATGTTCAACATCATAAAAGCCAAAAACAATCCCAACACCTGAATATACAAAAACGCCCTAAAAAAGCTACATGCCATGTAAAAATTATGACACTTTCCCCTTTATGTCAGCTCAAGTATGCAGTGACTTGATGTCGTATTTTATTATAACGTCATATCTAGGTAGTTCAGAGAAGTTAGTACAGTTTGAATAGTTTATTAGTATTTTTCGGACAGCCTTATTCTAGCCGCATTGTTCATACGTAGAGCATGCTCTTGCGTATCAAATCAACTGAAATATATATACGCCGTATGCAGGTGATGAAGGTATATTGCTGCATAAGTAAGGGAAGTTGACGATAGAAAAGTTAAAGTCATCACGTTTATCATATAGCTTGGTTTTTAGATTACCATTAACGTCTTTTTCATGTAAAATATCAAAGTATGTAACAGATGTATCAGACTCTGATTAAAAAAAACGTTCTTGTGTGTGCTTCGTGCATCAAGGCCTAAAAATGAGAAACAGAACACGTAATGTACTCAGATGACAGTACAGATTGTTGATTTATTTATATACTTAAAAATGAAGCATAAACATGTACATAAGAAAGGACAATATTTCAACGCTGAAAAAGATTTCATAATTATGACAAATTCTATGAATTGTAGAAAAAAAATCCCTATATTTTGTATTCTGAAACAACAAAGGCGCCTGAACCTTATCGCTAACCTAAGCTATGTTGACCAGCTATTCTTCGTCAGAATTTTTTTCTCCCTTTCGAGAAAAAAACTCTGACTTCATTAAGGCCTTTAAGCATCTGAAAGGGGATCTGACATATCCAAATATTATTCTACAAGATGAAACTATCATGTTTTTATCAATGCAACAACGCCGACTTACTAATCCGAAAAAGATATTTAAAATGATTTATATCTATGTCTGACATAAAATTCTTTATTTTTGCCTCTGTCATCAAAATGTTGCACATTCATGCGAATTTAGTTATGTTTATACGAACATGTTCTTTGAAGAAACATAGGGCCCCCAACCACAACACACTGAAGATTGCTGTTTTTCTTCAGAAAATGTTAGAATTTTTTTACCTTCCCCTGAAAATATGTTGCTTCTGCTTTTCGCCCACGATTTCAATTGAATACTTGAATCTATTCAGCTTTATTGTAAAATTTGCTATTTCAGTCACATTCTACCCCGCAGGCTGGTATCGTTACTATATTGGGTTGCTAGTATATTTATATGAGTAATTATACCTCTCCTGTTTTTGAGGTGAGAGTTTTAAAAAGAAAACAAAGTCTATGTATTCCGTATACTTAACATTTGATTCCTGATTAAGACCTATTTAACATATGTATTATATTATTGAATCATAACTATTTGGATTTTTACCCCTTTCACCATTTTAGATATTTTATCGCAATATTTCCAAAGTGAAACTCTGTCTGAATATTAATAGTCCATTTCATTTCTGACAAATGAGATTAAAATCTCTCTACAGATTCTTGATGAAATTTAAAAATGCAAAGAGATGGTAGATGGACCAACGACGGAAATTTGCTGATTAGTTTTCGAGCTTTTCGTTCTGATTAGTCAAAATGTACTTGATGTATATTTTACCCCTTAACAACAAAATACACTTTCACAAAAACAAAAGGAATAATATTGTTAGATAAAAGTTATCAGATTAATGAATATAAACAAATGTTGAAAATCTATTTTTACATTCGATAGAAATAAAAAAAAGACTAAATTAAAAAAGAATTAAAACAAAAAAATATTTTTGGCAGGTAGACTCTCTTTGAAAAGATCTGCATTGGGACACCTTGATCTTTAAAGGAAAGGAAATTTATTATCACTTTAATATAGGGTAATACACAATGGATATGCACTTTTTTTTAATTTCATATATAATTACAGAGGATGTGATCCTACATTTTCAGAAGACATAAGTGTTTATGCATTTATCTAGCATGTTTTTCTCCATCAAGTCTGTCTAATTTTAAAGAATCAGCTACTGTCATATTAAAAAAAACATGTTTATACTTCTTCTTTCATGCGATTTTAACCTTTCAGCAAGACTTGTCTTCACATTTTCTGAAAAGAAAAGAAAAAAAGATAAAGAAAGGTTAGTAAATATATTGACAGGGGTATTTTTAACAAATAAGATGAGAGAGAGAGAGAGAGAGAGAGATTACTTAAATTGAATACAGATATTATAAATTTTAATACTCAAGGAAAACACTACTAATAAGACAGAAATATATATATTATATATAATATTGTCTGAAGTATAAATTTAAATTTAAAAAATGAGAATTTTTTCAAGTTAAAGTGGAACGTTATGAAAAATTTAAAATTCAGAAGCCCAGTCATATCATCATTTTTAAGAGAAAAATAGATATTCTCGCATTTAGTATAATTTTTTCTTGAGACTTTCACATAATAGTGTTTGCATATAACAAGGTGACATCTCATAGTTCATACGCTATTGCAATAAAAAATTCTAACTTACATTCATCTTTTCTTTTCGATCATTCAAGAAATCATTTGTTGCTTTCCATCCTTTCTAAAAACAATTTTTTTCTCAAATTAATCATACTACCTGTATATTATTTGATAATTTAAGAAAAATTGAGAATTTGGTAAGTATAAATATATCAAATGAAAAAAATCAAGATTCAAAAGACTTGAATAGTCATTTTAACAAGTGTTTTTCTGTCTTGTAATGGCTCTTCAGACAGTTTTAGACAGTTAATTAATATTTGATATAGATTTATAAAAAGATTCTAGAATATCCATAATTAAAAATGAATGTTTTTGGTTAAACTATTAAAAACAATAGAGGATCATGTTCGTAGGAAGACATGTACCACATCTGGTATCATTGTATTTTGTTACCGAACAGTTTTCAGGAATGGTCAATATTCATTTTAATTGGGTGGTTGTCCTTGGCTTTGAATTAGGTTCGATATCTGTATCAGTGGTTGAAAATCATTATTTTGTTCAATGATTGAACCCCCCCCCCCCCACCTTGTAAAGCGGGAAAGTATATAGTAATCGGTATTTCCGTCCATCTGGCTGTTATGCTTTGAGGTACTCATCTCTTATCCGCAACTCCTTTTATACAACTGAGTTAAATTTCACAGAATCTTTATTATATACAGTTTATTATATGCAGTTTGTAAATGCTATTCAATATGTTTAGCATATAATTTTTTATTAAAATATCATGATGAATGTTCATGCAACTAAATAGCTCTTATCAATGTTTATAGTTTAAGCATATTAAAGATATGTATGCCGTGTTAAACAGTAGTTTTGCACAGCTGAAACCGAACAAAAATTTCTGGAGTATGATAAGCTACCAAAAATGAAGCATTCTTGCAAATTCGACGAAATTTTATTCAGTATTAACAAAGTACTGATCAGGAAAAGAACACGATATTCTCATGCATATTTATAAAGGACTGACGTTTATCCTGGATCTGCGCATGTGCGCGGGAAAAGCATCGCAAGAATCATCATGTCGAGGAAAATATTTTTTGTGACGTCTGTTCAGTGAGTGACACAAATAGACCAATCAGCTCAATGAGTTGCATTTATGGGTTACTACATAAAATACTACATGTATTTTTCAAAAAGGCTAGTTTTTTAAATCGCTCTCAGAAAGACTTGATGCATTATGTACATTATTATCAACTAATCCCATGCT